TTAGCTCAGGGCTAATCTTCCTCAAAAAAAAAAAAAAGAACTTCATTCTAAAGGTCATACGTACCATGCTGAGGAGTTTAGACTTGATCCTGTAGACAGGAAGAAACTGCCAGCAAAGTTGGCTTTTTGTTGAGATTCTATTCAAAATGTAAAAGATCAATTTATGAACATCGCAGTTATTTGGGTGGTTTCATTCATCTTATTTTTGTATGGGAAAAAATGAAACTCATATCACTTTCTTCCTCATTATAAAGGTAAACATTGGAAAACTGATGGCATCAGCAATGTATCTTACAAATCAGAAGAGAGACTTATAACATTCAACCTGGAAACTTTTGGCCCTGTTACCTTGATTCAAGACTCTCATATTAACATGCCATACCAGTCCTGGGAACTAAGACCACTTGATGTGAATAAAGTACTTTTGTCTGTGACTACAATATTTGCTGAGATTCAAATACAGATTAAGGTAAATCACTGTTATAGGAAGTCGTATCAAAGAAGTAATCCTCTTTGATGACTGTAAGAGTGTGTCAAAGCAATCAATCACTGGTGATTTACGTATTGAAATATGTCCTTTATAAATATATTTAAAATATACCTGGAGCTATAATCTCTAAATTAAATATTAATTGGATAGGTAATAACATGTAATAATTGACGTGCAAATTTGTACCCTAAAGTTACTAGGGACAGACCAATGCCTGGTTGCAGTGTGCCTTTCAGAGTGTTTGATCCACTCTGAAGAAGCTTCCTGATCTTTATCACCCAGCCATTTGGAATCCTGTTTGAGGTTGGTCTCTGAAGGAGCCTCTCTTGCTCATCAGTCAGAAATTCCGTAGCCTGAAATTTAGAGACAAAACGTAGATTAGTAGTTGCCTGAGACTGAGGGTAGGTATGGGGATTAACTGTAAATAGGCATCGGGGATTATAGTGGGGGGGATGGAAATATGCTAAAACTGATTGATGGTGTTAGTTGCAGCACTCAAAGTTACAAACAATCATTGGATTGTGCACTTAAAATGGGTGAATTTTATGATATGTAAAATATCCCTCACTTAAGTTGTTTTAAGAAAGAGAGATAGCCTGAAACTCCTTATGAATGTGGCAGAAAGACTAGAATATTGTCAAATTTTACTTTTAGAACCAGATGAGAGATGTCAACTCTGTATATCTTCAGATTGCCGCTTTGCAAACTTTGAAACTGGATAATAATTTTGCATTATTATGTTAAATCTTATATGTGTAAAAAAAAAATCTTTAAAAGTTGCAATGTCATTGCTGTCAAATAGCTATTATAATTCACTATGAACGTACGCAATATTCTTAGATCGTAACATATAAAATAGGAGGAAACCTGAGAAATCCTTTAGTCCAATCCCTTTTTTTGAGGAAGATTAGCCCTGAGCTAATTACTGCCAATCCTCCTCTTTTCTTGCTGAGGAAGACTGGCCCTGAGCTAACATCCATGCCCATCTTCCTCTACTTTATACATGGGATGTCTACCACAGCATGGCTTTTGCCAAGCAGTGCCATGTCCGCACCCGGGATCCAAACTGGCGAACCCCAGGCCGCCGAAGCAGAACGTGCGCGCTTAACCGCTGCGCCACCGGCTGGCCCCTCAATCTCTTGATTGTTCAGATAAAACCCAAAAAGAGTTGATAACCTGCTTAAGGTAACGTGGAAACTTTGTGGGGGACCTTTGGGTCAGGCCTAAAACATATCTATCCTGCATTCTTTCTACTATAGAACGATATAGGATTTTAAAAAGTAGTATAAAGAACCCAAAGGCTGGAACCAGAATGATAATGAGGTAATAATTTCTTTAACTTACTTGTATAAAAGTGTTGTTTTTCTTATTGAAACTAGGAAAACCTCTGCATGTTAGCTTCAATCAAAGTAAATAATAAAAAGCATTCCTCTATTTTGGAAGGAAGATGGATGACTCCTGTTTCTTTCATTACCGCTTTGAAAGAAGCTGGATTGAATATCTTCCCTACTCGACACTCTCATTTTTATGTTATTATAAACTATAAGGTAAGAATTAATCTTTCCAGATGAAATGGACATTTAGAATGTTAGCAGGTACTAAATTTAATATTAATCTTACGGTACACCAGGGGTTTTCTATATTCACTTATACAAGATTATAGTTAGAAAGGAAGGAATAATGGGCAAGACCAGAAATCCAGGGTTCTCTCAAGTTTAAAAATCTTCCCCAAGAAAGTAAGCCTGTAATATGACATATTCATATTGACAAATGGAGCATATCCACAGCTGGTCAATTTGGTGCAAAGGTGCTCCAAGCATTTTGTATATTTTCTTTCTTCTTCCAGATGGGATATATGTAAGGCTTCTTGAAAGAGCAAAGGACTCTGTAGTTTCCCAAACATGATCAGACAGGTGAAATTAAACACATACAAGGACCACTGATCAACAAAACCCATTCCTTCGGTTTCAAGGCAGGGCCTCCCTGTCTGCAGACTGCTTCATGTTACCATAAGGCTTTCGGTAATGAGATCCTTCCATGTTAAACTGTGAGCTCCGTGAGGAGGGGGAGTATTTCCTAATCAACATTGATTCTTCCAGCACCTAGTATATTCTAGAACTCAGCAGATGTTTAGTAAACATTGATGATATATGAATGAAGATGAAGTAACTCCTAATCATGAAAGGTGTTTTAGGCAGAAGAGTACTATACTCAAGAACGAGTTTATAACATACCAGAAAATGTCAATATTGGCAGACATTCATATAACATTTGAAAATAATCATAATGATAAGACTGTGTTCATTTATGCATAGGGAAAAACACTTTTGTTTTAGTAACTTAAATTGCGGGTATTCTACAAATGCTGAATGTAGTAAACTATTCATCTTTTCAGAACATTTAAGAATTTTTTTTTCTGTTTTCGATGCTTAGGATACACTAGTGAATAAAACAATGGTCCCTCCCCTTGTGGATCTTACATTCTAGTAGAGGCAAAAATAAACAATAGACATACAAAATAAAATTATCTCATATCAAAAAGTGATAAGTACTGTGGAGGAAAGAAAGGGTAGATGAGCAATAGTGGGGCTGGGGCAGCACACAACATCAAATAAGGTGTTGGGGGAGGCGGCTCAATGGGAAGGTAAGATTAGAGCAAAACGTGAAGGTGGGGAATTCAGCCAAGTGGACATCTCGGGAAGCAGCTTCCAAGAAGAGAGACCAGCTGGAGCAAGAGCCCTGAGGAGTGGCCTGGTGTGTTTGAGGAGTGGGGGGACCTGCAGCTGGGGGAGCAAAGGGAGAGAAAAAGGGATAAGGTCAGATAGATGACGGGGTGTATGAGGGTATGTGAGGGGATATCACCTTGCAGAGCCCCTCGTGGATCATTGTTAGGACTTTGGCTTCTACTCTGAGAGAAGGGGAAAGCCACTGCCCTGTTTTGAAAGAGGAGTCATGTGATCTGACTTACATTTTAAATGGATCTTTCTGTGTTGAGAATAGACGGTAGGCCAAGGATGGAAGGAAGACTTGTTCACAGGCTCTATGATCAATTCTATTTGCTTTTATATTGACAGGTTCCTTTGACAGAAATGAAAGCTTATCGACAAATGGCCCTGCTAAGTTCTGCTTTTGCGTTTGGTTGGAGCAGGTGGAATATGCTATGTGATTCTAAAAAAGTTGTATTTAAGGTATAGTATACAAAAACCCATAAAACTACTTTGTCCTCCAAAAGAAGATGCAGTACTCAAAAGCTAAATGAATGTAGACCATGGTTTCTCTTCTTAAAAAGGTGAAAAAACCTCCACAATAGAGTTTTAAAACTTCATTTTTAAAACAATTTTGTCAAAAATATAAAACCAAACTATGTAAAGGTTATGCCTTCATTCTCCATTATGGTATCAAATGCTCTTGACTTCAGGCTAGAGTTCTTATATCTCTTTACATTGACTCAAGAACAAAAGGAAGCGTTTAACATGAATATATCTATGATTCACAAACTTTCTCCTCTAACGGGGTGAGGCTTCAATTTAACTTTCTGGCACATTTACTACTGCCTGATAAAGAAGGTATCTTATCAAATTCTAAAAGCTGACTGATGAATGTTTTAGCCTAAACGAGCCACCAAACTTATTTATCTCATTTATCATGTGTTTCTCCCGCTAGAAGATGAGCTCCTTGAGAACAGGGTTTTATTATTGCAGCTGTTAGTTATTTATTAATACGTTTAGTTGTTTCTTCTTTGTTCTTTTCATTGTTGTTTTTCCATCCCCAGCGCTTGGAACAGTACCTGGCAGATGATAGCCACTCAATAAATATTTGTTGAAGGAATTAATACATTTTGATAAGCTCCATAAACACCAAGATATAAACAGTTTCATGGTTCAAAAAAATGGGATATGAAGAATGTTTCTTTTAATGTTTGCAATTTTAGGGCCTGAGTTGAGCCCTTCAAATAATACTCTACTGCCAAATGTCTAATAGAAGAGCATCTATTAACAGATTTCTCTAATTTTCTTCTCCTTTAGGTGAGGGAACACCTTCGTAAAGAAGAACCTATTGAGGATCCCAATTGGGCCCTTTTGATGTTTAGTGGTGACAGAGCACAAAGGCTCAAGATCGACGAATACAGCGATACGTTCTCTGAAGCCCTGAAAGAAGAAACTGAGTTTCATTCTACTTTGTATCACATGGTTAAGGATTTTGCTTCTGAAGAAGCAATGGAGAAAATCAGGAGCTCCAACGACCAGTTCATTGACTCTGTGGGCCACATGCTGCTCTTGACTAGGGTACTCAGCTATTCTTAATCCCCACTCATACATTTTATTCAGTATGAAGAATCAAGCAACTTGGAGAGAAATCAGGGATTGCTTCAATAAAGTGTAATGAGTGAATATACTTCAAATAGGCTACTAAAATGATCTAATCAGCATTTTATACTCAAATTTTATTTTTCAGAAAGTGGGGTTTTTTTCCTTTGAATATTTAGTCTACTGAGACTCAACTCCCACTGTACGAAGATTTGAATGGTTCTTTATTTCAATAAATTTTAACAAACAATATATAATACCTCCTTCTCAAAAAGCTCATTAAAAGATCATAGGCAGGCTTCCTCCCCACTGTGTATTTCAGTTGGGGAGATAATCACAAAAAGAGGGAATGTAAAATATCTTACAGGCATCCTGAGAACCTTTGGTTCCATGCTATAATTTTCCAGCTAAAATTTACTAATTTACAAAGTTCAGATACTGAAACCTTAAAAATCAAGATGCACACATTGGGATGTGCTGCAGTCACACTGGTGGTGGCCCATTGTGTCTAAGTCTGGTAAATGGCCACAAGATATGTTCTAGAGACATCCAGGAGTCCCCATCCTGTGTGGGAGCGGCATCCACGGACTTTTGGAAAAACAGGCCTGTGAGGAAGCTCATCAAAGCTGCAAACAGTACAATGAAGGCAACAGACAAACAGAGTGCCTTGTTAGCCTTTCCGATGGAAGTCTTGAGATTTGTTGTCCAGGAAGCTATTGTGTCATAACTGCAAGGAAAACACAAATTCAGAATTTGGCAATCACAATAATGTTGTTAGAAATACTCCTTTTGCCAACGATACCAATCAAGTCATTGATCTGCCCTACATACTACCAACACCACCTTGTAATAAGCCACATAATGTGATCTGTCGTCTTGGCTTTGGCCACAATCTGCCTCCCTTATAATTTTTAGAAGTAAGAAATGATGTGCTATGGTGAGAATCTGAAAATTATGTGATTTAGGCATTATTTAACTCCTGACAAGTACCTTTGAGTGTTTATCTCATTCTTTCAATCAGGTAAGGCAACTTATATTCCTATGGTGGAAACAAAAAATTATTTATTGGGTAGAGCAGGATATATGTGTATGTACATATGTGTGTATATATATATATATAAAAACATGTCACTTATTTCTCACCATACCCTGGACTTTTCTGTACTGAAATTTAAATGCTATTTCTTTAAAAAAAAAAAATCTTACTGCAGCATCATGCAAGTCTTTGAAAATAGTACAGTGTCTAACACAGAATTAAGAATTTTACATGTGCTAATTCATTTAAATGAATGTCAAAACAATGACATAGGTACTATTATAATTCCTATTTATAGATGAAGAAATTAGTGCTCAAAAATGGATGAACTTGCCCAGGTCACACAGCTGGTTAGAGAGCTGGACCCGAGCCTAGGCCATCTGGCTCCAGGGCCAGGTTCCTAACACTGTGAATGTTCCTGTGTCTTGTAACTCATAGGTTCAGGGGTGACTCCTGTAGACCATGTGAATTTTGTTATTCATTTAAATTTAACAATTTGACAGGTCTTTTAGTAAAGTCATTGATTAGTATTGTTAATCCTGCCTTACTTTTCCCAATTCCAACAAGATGGTATCATTTCTCAAGTAGACAACTTACGCTGAAGAGACATCCCATTTCGATGGATTATTTCTCTTTTCAGAAAGACTTGGCTTTCTTGTTCTTTCTACTATTTCTTCTTCAGGTGGTTCTGAGTCATCTTTAGTTCTGTAAGTAAGTATGGTTTTTAAATATTTAAAACTACAGATAATGTGCTACAATCATTTATAAAATGTTGCTAAATTTTACTGTAGTACTAAAGAGGCTCACAAATATTTGTTTTGCTTAAGATTTGATAAATATCTAATTCTAAAATTCAAATCACCAAATTTATATTTTTAACCATTTACAGGAATTTAATTAATTAATTATTTTTTTTTTGCTGAGAAAGATTCACCTGGAGCTAACATGCATTGCCCTTCTTCCTTTATTTTGTATGTGGGTTACCACCACAGCATGGCTGACAGGTAGTATAGGTTTGCACTCGGGATCCGAACCTGCAAACTCGGGCTGCCAAAGCAGAGCACACTGAACTTAACTACTATGCCATGGGGCTGGCCCCTATAGGAATTTCATTTAAAAAGTAACTTTCTGTACTTAGAAAAATAATAAATGTTTGTTGTAGAAAGTTGGGGTACTAGCAAAAGGACATGTAAAAGTTAGTCAATTCTCACCACTCATAATTAACCAATGTTATTACTGTGATTTCTTTCTCTGCATATATGTGTGTGTGAGAGTGTAACCACACTTTAAAAACTGAATGTGAATGCCATATTTTTCCTCTATGTAATTTGTTATTAACATATAGTAAAGTTTTTTCTAAGTATTCTTCTACCAGATGGTTTTTAATATCCTATATTAAAAGTTGATTTTACTCTTTTTTTCTGTAGGTTTTTTGATCAATGCTAAATTGGAGTAACATCAAAGTGTCATTTCTTCTCTAAAAATCTTAATTTTAAAAGTGTTTATGAAAATATGTTCAGTGCAAAGCTAGTTAAACTGGTATTCAGTAAGCTGGGAAATAGCAATTGGATTGCCTATACTTTAAATGAAATCATATTATCTAGAGGGATTTCTTTACCTGAACAAAACTTAATTGTTTCATTATCATGTTCACTGATGAGTTCTAGTTGGATTTGAACTTGAAATACCAAGCTCATAATGCCCTCACAATTGCCAAAGGGAACTAACTGTGTCTCAAAGTTGTTTTTTTTTCCAGTCAAACATCTATAGGGAATGTATGTGATAGACTTTAGTTTTTAAAGGAAACAAGGCCCAAAAGTCAGAATTTTTGTAAGATTCTGAAGATTGCCATCTTTGGTTTGCAAAGACTTCTCAGTAGAAATCATACCACATTAACAAAAAGCAAAAAAAAAAAAAAGGATTGCAATCTTTTGAAGGAAACTCTTGATTTTTTTTTTAACCAGGATCAGAAAATATCCATTATGTTAACTATAAATCTGAAAAGCATTAACACATACAATAGTCTCCCAGGATTATTTTTAAAAAAGACTTTGAGTGTAGGCACTATGTCTTACTCATCTTTATATCCCTTAGGATTGAGTGCAGTCTCTATCACATAGTAGGCATGCAATGAAGTTCTCCACAGATGAGGAAACTGAGACCAAGTAAGGTTAAGCAATTTGTCCAGTGTCACCCAAGGACTTAGAGGCAGTATTTCTTCATGTCCTTCCTTCTTGCCCTCTACCATTCACTAGAGAATTATATTTTATTTGTTTAACTTTCTAGATATAGAGATAGCAATTTAGAGCTTTATGTTTCCCCTACTCTTCACTTACATAAAGAGAAGATAGATGTACATATATCACATGTGCTTATATGTTATATATAATTCATGTATTTTTTAAAAAAATCTAGTAGATAGACATTTTACTTCTGTGGCTCTTTATTGACCTTCCCCCAATAACTAGATACTCATACAGGGAAAAAATTATCTTCACAGATCTGGTAAATTTCAGGGTCTTTTCTAACTTAAGACCTCAAACCTTGCAGTTCTGAGTGCTATGTGAGTGAATTCATTCACAAATAACATTTATAGTGCTTTACAGTTTATAAAAGTCTTAAACAATGAATTATCTTTTCGATGATTCATCATTAACCTCATCTCCATAGAATAAAAGTGATCCCGATTTTTACGCCCCAGCTCACATCAAGTTAATAAACACACCAAGCTTCACCTACTTTAGTTCACATTTTTCTTCTTCAGCATCTGCCCAGGAATAGGTGCTAATAAATCGATGTAATGAGGGACGGTGTTCATTCTGCTTTGACCCCAAAATACGCCTAAATAAAGATGATTATAGCCACTTGTCAAATCAAATACATCTGTAGCCATTATCAATTTATTTCCCACTACCTAAATCAACACAAAAATTTTATGTTCTAATTTTTTCCTTGACATATTTACATAACACTTATTTCATAAACCAATTTCATGATTATATGCCAATTTTTATAATTATTCTGCATATACTCTGTAAAAATCAAATGTTACAATTTCACTTTTTTCAAACATTTACTTTAGCCCAATTATAAAGTAGTAAGCTTCCCAAAGAGTAACCACAAAATTACACTCACCAGCTGCTTGACCTCCTACTGAATCGGTCATTATTTTCCATCCCAGCCAACTTTAAAGTTCAGATGTTAAAGAAATAATAAAATATGAATTTAGTGAAGTAAGTTTATATTTTTGTCATATGAAAATGAATTTGCTTTTGACTAAGAGCACTTAGGAGTTTACTTACCATTCCTGCATTTCCAATATTTCTGGGCAAAGAGGCAATGGTCACTCTTCTAAGAGAAGATGGCTACCCAAAGGAGGAAAATGTACATTCAGAACATTCTCAATAGTTTACCCTTGTATGCAACGCTAATGAATATTCTCATACATACACATCCATGCACTTGCCACTGCTGAGTTAAACAGTAGACATATTTTAAAGGATTTTTTTTAATGGCCAAATTGCCTTCCAGAGATATTCCACAAATTTATATCCCACTTTCTCCAACATTGGCTGAGTGTAATTTTTCCCAATCAAATATGGAATTCAAAGCTTCTTGTTTAGGTTTCTAATAACAATGAACACTAGTTCATTGTTTTTCTGTGTTGAATAACCACGTATATATCTGCTCTGAGAACGACCTCTTTATGATCTTTGCACATATTAATTTTGTTAATATTTCTGGCAAAAAACTTTTTCATTGTTATTGCAGCCAAATCTATTCATCTCTTCCTCTCTTTTGCTACCATTTCTTTTATGCTTAGGTTCTCCCCAACTCAAGAGGAGATAAATATGCAGCTATGGGCGCTGGCCCGGTGGCACAGCAGTTAAGTTCTCATGCTCTGGCGGCCTGGGGCTCACCAGTTCGGATCCCAGGTGCAGACCTACGCACCACTTATCAAGCCATGCTGTGGCAGGTGTCCCACATGTAAAAAAAAGTAGAGGAAGATGGGCATGGATGTTAGCTCAGGGCCAAGCTTCATAAGCAAAAAAAGAGGAGGATTGGCAGCAGGTGTTACCTCAGGGCTAATTTTCCTCAAAAAAAAAAAAAATGCACCTATTTTATAGCTTTTGTTTTCATGGTTTCGTTTTTTCCATTCAACAAATTTAAGGATGGGCATGATATTCTAATGAATGGATGTGTTTATATATCAACCTTGAGATTTGCACAGGAAAATGTTATACAGTATTATGTGGTTCTTAAAGTTTAAATAGGTACAACTTCAAGAAATAAAAAATATGTTAAATGTAGGAAATAAACTAACGAAGTTTTATGTGAATCCTTTTCTTAAACCACAGTCCCTAATTTAATTTCACAACTTAGTTGAGCATCAAGAATATCAAATTGCAGTCCCAGAAACCTAGGATCTAATTATGGTTCTACCACTACGTGATTGTAACTAATCACTTAACTTCTGTGAAAGTGATTTCCCTCATCTGTGAAAAAGACAGATTTGGATGGAATGATTTTAAAGTCTCTTGCTCAAAAATTCTGTAAAAAAATTCTGTGAAATCCTGACTTTCAAACTGGCAAAAACTGCTGGTTAACTTTTAATATCCCGTTCTCTCCTTTTTATTTAGTAACAGACTTCTTGGGTTTTAGTTAGGCATAAAGTCTCCAGAATAAATGCAAAACCTCCCACGAATGTAAAGGGAATAAATGAATAGATAAAGCCTTCCAGGAATGAAAAGGGAAACGTTATCTGAGACTTCTAGGAAGTGTTTTTAGGGGGAGAGGGAACACCTGTTTTTGCTTCTTCCTCTTTCTTGGAATGTGATGCAATGTAATGACGAAGACTTGGTGTCCAGAGCTGATGAAGCCGTCTTAGACCATCTCAGACCAAAAGCAAAGGCCTGAGGGTGATGATGCAGCAAGAGACAGGGCCCTGTGGATTTTGTGAAGCTGCTCTACCATTGTTGGACTATTTATTTCCAACTCTGATTTTACATGAGAGAGAAACTATCATTATACTGGCTTTCCTCCTGCTGCCACGCAAACTTGATTGATACACAAACAGAGCAAGAAGTGTAAAAGCATACACACATATGCATAAATATACACACATGCATATATACATACACACATATATATGAATTAAAATCATTTTATAATTTACATTTAAAGCCATGTTGTTTCAAATACTATTTTAAAACCTTCTCACCTGTAACTTTTGATAGACACAGTGAAGTGAATTAGCACTCACCTTGGAGTTTAGAGAAGCTGAACGTTTTTTAATCTGGCAATCATCTGAAAGGAAAAACATATTTACAACATTTTAGGAATTACATTTGCAGTTTAACACAATGGTCTCAATTCTTTACAAAGAAAAGCAATGGTCAGAAAAGAGGTATTTAAGACCCTAGAGACTACTGAGCAATATAAATAGCTGGTTATCATTTATTTGGTGATTCATAACAATTACCATCTTAGCCAATGGCATACAGTCCTCTCTGCCACTGCAGATGTCCACAAGGCCTACCTGGCACATAGAAGGCACTGAAGGAATGTCTGCTGAATAAATGAATCCAAAAACAGATCGGAAGATTATCAAATATGATTACTTTTCTAGAAGAGGGAACAGATCATTAAAATAAGAATTCTGCTCATAAAAGTTCATACTGTCTATTTAAAATAAAACTCTTATAAGATTTATATAAATTTTGTGTTAAGATATTTTCCACAGTCTCAGATGTCTCCCTATTTTCCAATCCATCAGTCAGCTTACTGTGCAGAGTCCTTCCTTCTTTGAGGAATACAAAGCCACAGTAGATGAGTGTGGCTCATGTTAGTGACTGTGCCTTGCTTTATGTGGGGAGAAAGCCAATTCTAACACATCCTAAGTAGAACACTAAGTTCAACCCAATGGGTTAGATTAAAGATATTCTCTCATCTCAGCAATCTAAATTAATGATTCTTTTTGTCATTGCCAAAGAATCCTTATCTCCCAACCTGTTTTCTAACTGACGTCTTACTTTGGGCTATGTAAATAATAAGCATGAGTTACTCTTCTAATATAACGTTAACTTAAGGGTCTTTATACTAAAGATATAATATTAGAGAATGAAAGAGGAGAATGTTCGAAAAACATAACTGATACTATTATCTTAAACTTTTATTACCTTCATCTTCAAGAGGGTTAAAAGACCTTTCATTTTGCAAAAGAACCTGTTTCAGTTCTTCTAATTCAGCATGCTCTTTGGCATACATTCTCTTCAGGTTTTCTACATGCTGAATCATTACTTCCACTGCTTTACTAACCCGGCTTTCCTAGTAGGAGAAAAAGAACATGTTCACAATGAAAATACTATTCTTGATACCCAATTAAAAGATGGTGATTAGACACATGTGTTACCTTCACTCTATCCCTAAATCCCACTAAAATGACAATAAAGGTATTTAAAAAAAAAAAGCATGAGTACACAATGGCAAATAGAACAGAAAAAGATATAATAGCAACAGAATTTTGAAAGCCTGCTAGTAGTAGGACTAATGGTAAATGACTAAGACTGAAAAGCTGAACCATAAGAAAAGCAGTAAGAAAAGCCTAGGAGCAAGTTGGTTTCACCACAGAAAGCTCCAGATGCTCAGGAATTAGTGGCGCCTCTGGAATTAAGCTTGAAGGTGGGTATGTGAACAGAAGAAATGGTTGAAAATCTGTGTAGAAAGCAATCAGGTCCACAGATCCGCTTCCTTACTCAGGCCAGAGGAGCAACTTCCCCTCCACCACTTAGGTGAAAGACTACAGAAGCTGAATATCTAGAGAGAGTGAAACAGAGGGTTTCTGGACTGGGCAAGAAGAGTTGATGATGCGTGGATCATACAGTAAAGAACAGATTCAGGCAAAAGTCTGTATACATATCAAGTATTGAGATACCTAGCCTTATTCCTCCTCCCAACTCCCAAACACTGGTAGCCAGACTGATACTCTCAAGGCAGGCAGCTGGAAGACTGTTCTCTGAGGGATGTAACATGGCAAGAAGAAACTCCTAAAACTACCGCCATTGAGCATCCCAATGAAACATCCTGGCCGTGTGAAGCTCAGAGCCAACAAGAACCTTCCCCACCCAACCTACACAGAGCTCCCAGTCAGCTGCCTGGGAGTCATCACTGGTCAGAGGAGAGCCCTGGCATGAAATAAGGAAATCAAAATGCAGAAAAAAGCCAGCTAGAGGAAATAAACTACAGGAGAACAGGAACTTCAAGGAAACTATCGCTATCTTCAGAGAGTTAATAAGTATTGCATCCATGAAATAAGAACAAGATAGTATTAAAAAGCAACATTCTGAGAGTTAAAGAAACAGTCTGGAAATTAAAAACATCCCCAAAATACATAACTCAATAGAAGAGTTTCAAGATATAAAGTTGAGGAAAACTCCTGAAGCTGGAGCAAAAAGACTAAAAGGTAGAAAAGAGATGAGAACAAGTTCAGAAGATTCAACATCCAGAGAACAGGAATTCAAGAAAATACAGAAAATGTAGAAAAATTCCACGAAACATAGAAAAAGATAATTCAAAAAAATTTCCAGGGGCCGGCCCGGTGGCACAGTGGTTAAGTGCACACGTTCTGCTTTAGCGGCCCGGAGTTCGCCAGTTTGGATCCCGGGTGCGGACATGGCTCCACTTGGCAAGCCATGCTGTGGCAGGCATCCCACATATAAAACAGAGGAAGATGGGCATGGATGTTAGCTCAGGGCCAGTCTTCCTCAGCAAAAAGAGGAGGATGGGCAGCAGTTAGCATAGGGCTAATTTTCCTCAAAAAAAAAAAAAAAAAAAAAGTCCAGAACTCAAGAACATAACTTGCCAGCTTATGTTCATTCAGGGCTTAAAACAGCGGATGAAAACAAACCCATACCAAGGGAAGACATTCGGGATAGGAGGATATCCTAAAAGCTTCTGGACACTAAAAAGATGTTAGAAACAAAAGCTCAAGAGTCAGAATGGCATCAAACTTGAATAGCAACACCAGAGGCTAAGAAGAGAATGAAGCACTGCAAGGAAAATTCTAAACGAAATGATATCTAACCTAGAATCCTTCACCCAGCTAGACTAGTGATTAAGTATAGGAATAAAGACATTTTCAGTTATATAACATCTTGAAAAGTTTACTTCCCAGGCATTCTTTTCTCTCAGAAAGTTATTGAGTGAGATCTTCCACCAAAATGAAAAAATAAACCAGTAAAGAAGGAGGTATGGGGTTCTGGAAATGGGATCCAACTCAAGAGAGAAGTGCAAGGGATCTTCATTCAAAAGAGGTGGTGAGCCTAAGCAACAACCAGCCCATTCTAGATGCTATATATAAATGAAATCATACAATACGTCATCTTTGTGTTTAGCATCTGTACTTAGCATAATATTTTCCAGGTTCATCAGCATGTATCAGCACTTCATTCCTTTTAGTGGCTAAACAATATTATATTAAATACACAATAATAATATTGTAATTTCTCCACATCCTCATCAACATTACTTATTTTCTTTCTTCCTTTTTTTCTTTTTTTTCATTATAGCTATCCTAGAGGATGTGAAGTGGTATGTCATTATGGTTTTAATTTGCATTTCCCTAATGATTAAGCAATGTGCATACATAACTTTAATAAAAATAAAAGAAAGAATATTATTCTCTAGGGAGGGATTAAAAAGGAACTAAGGCATTAAAAATGTGTAACAAATGATCAAACTAAAACTACCACCACAATTAAATGTCTCCTTCTTAGGAAAAGTATATTTAATAAGTTTGTTCAGGTTTAGATTAAAAAAATTAAAGTCCTCCCAGATTTGCCCACAAAGAAATTTTCAAATTCTACTTCTCTACACCTAAGAGTGCAAAGATGCATACACAAAGATATTTATTGTAGCATTGTTTATAATAGCAAAATATCAAAACATTCTGAAATGATCACATATAAGGGACTGGTTAAATAATTTATGATCTATTCAACCAATAGAATACCATAAAATGATGATGTGTGTATGTGTATATATTTATATCACATAGAAAGTTATCTATGCTATATGTTGAATGAAAGAGAAGCAGATTATAACATTCCATGAAGGGAATGTCTAGAAAAATATATCACAAAATTTTTATAATGATAGTCATTGGCTAATGCTATGATGAGAGACTTTTCTTTACATTTTTATTTGCATATTCCATTTTCCATTTTTTCTATATTAAGCATATATTATCTTATACAATAAAGAAGTGTTTTTTAAAACTTCTTCCTAAAAATGTAATCTATAATGTCAGGGAAAATAAATCCTTTTAGTAATTTCATTGTAACTAGAGAAAAGGAGACAGATTACCTGATTAATGGCTCCCAACATCTCAGCCCTACTGGCCACTCGTGCTGTGCACTGGCTAAGGAATGTTATTGTCTTCTCCAGCTTCTTAATGATTTCCTGGGCCTGGTTGTCATCTTCACAAAGAGGTGTTAAAGACTGCACAGAAAGCAAAGTATTAAAAAGTGTCCAACCCAAGTAGTCAGCAAGTGATTCTAACACTGACTATGTTCTAAAGGCTGATGACAATCAAATCTCAATTATCTTGGTGGAGGCTGAAAAGAAGCAGCAAAACCCAGTAATGAAATATTAATATCTTTGTTGGCTCTCAAGTAGACCTGTGCAGGAGCTCACAAAAACCATTTATATCTATTCTTGATCCTTTCCTTCTTTGCTTCCCAAATTTGCCACCTCTTCATGTGTATTTATATCTTTCTTCTACAATTAACAGGATGGGATATAATTAATTTGTCATGGTAAAGAAATTATGCTTACAAAAGAGTTGAATGTATTATGAGGAACATAGTTTGAACTTTTAAGAAAATTAGTAAAAATATACTGGAATTAGTTATAGGTCTGACTGCTATACTTGCTTTTCCATTGATGACAAAGTGTGATTGGGCTGGTTATGTGGATATGCCTTCATAGCCTTATGAATATTTCTCTCAAATCTGTGCCCTTAATCCAAGATGATGGCCTTCCTGATGGAGGATCATCCTTCTCACTAGGGTGGAGACAGAATTAAAGGAACAGATCTGGAAGCAAACAAGCCACTGCTCTTTATCTGTGTGATCATGAACAAATATCTAAGACTTGCCAAAATCTAAAACACTGTAAATTTTGTATATCATTAAGAAAGAAAAAGTTCTGCCAATAAAACTATAGGCACCATTGACTGTAAATCGCATTCTAATGTCAACCTTTCTGATTTGCTGTTTTCTCGTATGTTACATGGCGACAATTACATCTCCTTTCCAGGAATATTGTGATGTGAGAGGTTACAGATGCCATTTGCTTGTCACACAGTAGGTGTTCAATGAATAGCAGCTACTTCTGAAACAGACAGATATGTAGGAGTTGCAGCTGGAGAGTTGCTAACCAACTGGAATGGTCATTGTCAGACACAGTTTCCTACTACAGTTTAAATAACCACCTTCAGTTGGGAAGGGAAGAGCAGATGTTAGTTGTTAGCCAAATAGAGTAAGGTTTACCAAGACTAAATCATGAAGAAATAGAAAATTTGAACAGACCAATAACTAATAAGGAGATTGAAGCAGTTATCAAAAGTCTCCCAACAAAGAAAAGACCAGTACGAAATGGCTTCACTGGAGAATTCTACCAAATATCTCAAGAAGAATGAACAACAGTCCTCCTCAAACTTCCAAAAACTGAAGAGGAGGGAACACTTGCAAGCTCATTCTTTGGGGCCAGCATTACCCTAATACAAAGGCAGACAAAGACACTACGAGCAAACTACAGACAAATATCCCTTATGAATGTTGATGCAAAAATCCTCAACAAACTACTAGCAAACTGAATTCAACAGCACATAAAAAGGAGTATACACCGTAACCAAGCTGAGATTTATTTCTGAAATGCAAGGATGGTTCAACATAGGAAATCAATCAATGCAATATATCACTTTAACAGATTAAAGGGCAAAACCCAAATGATCATCTAAATTGACACAGAACAGCATTTGACAAGATTCAATACCTTTTTATGATAAAAATATTCAAAAAACTAGAAATAGAAGGGAAACTACCTCAACATAATAAGGCCATATATCAAAAGCCCACAGCTAACATCATACTGAAAGTTTTTCCTCTGAGACCAGGAACAAGGCAAGGATGCCCACTCTTGCCACTTCTATGCAACTTAGTACTGGAAGTCCTACCAAGAGCAATTAGACAAGAAAAAGAAATAAAAAATGCACATTGGAAAAGAAGTAAAATTACCTCTGTTCACAGGTGACATGGTCTTATATATAGAAAACTCTAAAGACTTCACACACAAAAAACCTGTTAGAACTATTAAGTGGATTCAGCAAAGTTGCAGGATACAAAATCAACGTATAAAATTCAATTGCATTTCTATATGATAACAATGAACAATCCAAAAAGGAAATAAAACAATTCCATTTACAATACTATTGAAAAGAATAAAATACTTAGAAATAAACCTAACCAAGGTGGTAAAAGATTTGTACACAGAAAACTACAAAACATTGCCACAATAAACTAAAGAAGACGCAAATAAAGGGAAAGACATCCTGTGTCCATGGATTGGAAGACAATTTTGTTAACCCACGAATACCACCCAAATTAATCTACAGATTCAATGCAATCCCCGTCAAAATCCCAATGGCATCGTTTTGCAGAAATAGAAAACTTCATCCCAAAATTCATATGGAATCTCAAAAGACCCTGAATAGCGAAAACAATTTTTTAAAAAGAACAAAGTTGGAGGACTCACACTTCCTGATTTCAAAACATATTTCAAAGCTACAGTAATCAAACTTTATGGTATTGGCCTAAAGACAGACATATAGAGCAATGAAACAGAATAGAGTGTCCAGAAATAAACCTATGCATATATGGTCAAATGATCTTTGACAATGGTCAAGACTACACAATGGGGAAAGGAGAGTCTCTTCAACAAATGATGTGGGAAAAACTGGATATCCACATGCAAAAGAGTGAAGTTGGACTCTTATCTTACACCATATACAAAAATCAACTCAAAATGGATTAAAGGCCTAAATGTAAGACCCAAAACTATATAGCTCCAGAAGAAAACATAGGGGAAAAGCTTCATGACATTGAATTTTGCAACAATTTCTTGGATATAACACCAAAAGCACAGGCAACAAAAGCAAAAATAGACAAATAGCACTACATCAAACTTAAAAACCTTTGTGCATCAAAGGCCATAATCAACAGAAGGAAAAGGCAACCTGTGGAATGGAGAAATTAACTGCAAATCACATGTCTTGTTAAAAAACTGGCAAGGGATTTGAATCAACATATTTCCAAACATGATATACAAAGAGCCAACAAGCATCTGAAAAGATGCTCAACAATACTAATCATCAGAGTAATGCAAATCAAAACCACAGTGAGATATCACCTTGCACACATTAGGATGGCTACTATCAAAAAATCCCAGAAAAGAACGTGTTGGCCAGGATGTGGATAAATTGGAACCCTGGTGCATTGTCAGCAGGACTGTAAAACAGTGCATCCACTATGCAAAACAATATTATGGTTCCTCAAAAACTTAAAAATAGAACTCCATATGATCCAGCAATGTCACTTCTGGGCACATTTCTAAAAGAATTGAAAGCAGGGTCTCAAAGAGATATTTGCAAACCCACGTTCCCAGCAGCAAGGTTCAGAAGAGCCAAGAGGTGGAAGCTGAACGTCCATAGATAAATGAATGGATAAACAAAATGTGGTATACACATACAGTGGAATATTTTATTCAGCCTTTTATTAAAAAGGAAGGAAGTCCTGTCACATGCTACAACACGGATGAACTTTGAAGATATTTTCCTAAGTGAAATAAGCCATTTACAAAAAGACAATTACTGTATGATTCCACTTATATGAGGTATCTAAAGTAGTCAAATTCATAGAAACAGAAAGCAGAATGGTGGCTGCCAGGGGCTGAGAGGAGGACGAAAGGGGAATCGTTTAATGGATATAGTTTCAGTACGCAAGATGAAAAAGTTCTGAAGATCTGTTTCACAACCATGTGAATAGACTTGACACTAATTAACATACGCTTAAAATGGTTAATATGGTAAATTTTATGTTATGTGTTTTTCTACCACACATCCACACACAAACAGAATATGGTTTCTAAATTTTTATTTTCTTTCTCCAAAATTAGCTCTCTTAATTTTCCAACCCATCTCTATATTTATAGTGACTTGACAAAATAGAAGAATCTATAGTAGTTGTTATATGTCTATGTACCCTCCAGAGGGCTTGCCCACCGTCTGATAAGACAAAGCAGTCACCATTCTCTATTTTCAGTTAATTAAATGGAAACAGACTTTCAATTCTCCTCTTTGAAGCTTAAAACTGATATCTCCAGTTGCTCAGTTTTCTGCATGACTGATTACTCTTCTGCCTGAAATCTACTTGAAAATCCAGGGAGAAGGCAGATGACTCATCCGACTACTTTAAAGGCATTTGTTGGTTTTGTCGCTTCTACTGTTAGTGAATCTTTCATTTTGGCCTGATCTTGAATTCTTACCTCCTCCTAATTCACATTTGGGTCAGGCAGGGTTTGGTACCTGGTATTGGTTTTGGTCGTACAAGAAAACTCACATGTAATTTTCAAAACATTGTTAACAATAGGACCAAACGTGTAGTCCCCAAAGGTTATGATTCTCACCTCTAACAGCTTTAAACAGTTAGTGATTTCTTTCTTCAAATTTTCTTCTGCCAAGTCACGGGATCTTTCTTCAAGCCTCACTCTTTTCTCCAAGGTGAACCAGTCACACTTAAATCCCAAAGATAATCTGAGAAATTCAGCCTGAATTTCAAAATAATGAATGTCAAAATAATGTGAGGGTGAGGGGAGAAAACTGGAGGTAGTCAAATATTTCAGTTTAATACCAGATTATACTGAGGCATTTCTTTCTTCTCTCAGCAACACAATGCTGGTGCACACAGGCTTTACCTGCTCTTCATCATTGCCAAGCCACACAGACACCAAACGTGTGACAGCTGGTGCAAAAGCAAGAAGCGATGGTAGGCAAGAGAGCCTGAAACACTTTTTTTTTTTTAATTAAAGGAAAAAACATTTGCTTTAAACTCACCTCCACCTCCTTCTCATTAGGAGAAGTGCTGTAGGATAAGACAAAGAACTTGTTAAAACATAATTCAACAGAAAAGCAAAAAATGCGAGCATGCAACATGAAGAAGAGCTTACCTGTCACCTTGTTTAAAGTTAACTGATTTCACAGTGGTTACGGGAAGAGAGGAAACGGCAGTGTCTATTAAAAGACAACAAAGTATTATTTGGTTAAAAAGGCTTAATAGCTTAAGGCACATTTGATCAAATGTTATGTCCTCTCTCCATGAAACAAAAGCATTTCATTGAAAGTGTCTGAGAGGATAGCCAGCTAAGAATGCATTTGTTTAAATATAAGATAATGTTATGCTACGCTATTGGGATCACAGTGACATTAAAACTACGGGCTCGCACTTCAGCATGTGAACAGTCTTTGAATCCTGAAGATGTCTCAGAGTCAAGGGACAGCCCAGTTTGTTCTCTTTGCATTTAAATGTTTATTTGACTTGATCCCATGGCGAAATGCACATCTTCCTCTGTTACCTGGTCCTCCTTCAAATCAAGGCTTTAATAGCAGTAGCAGCAGGAGTAGTACTCATTGTAGTAGAAGTAGCAGTAATAATCATAATAATACTGGTAACAATAACAGCAACAATAAACATGATATCAACCATTTATCACAGGTTTACTATATGCCAGTCCCAGAACAAGGCTCTTTACACATATTAATGATACTCTTCATGACAGCTTTGCAAAGAGGACCATAGGTTAGTTATTAAGAGCATTAGATTTAGACTTGAAAAAACCTGGTTTCAATCCTAGCTTTGACTGCTATGGCTATACGACCTGGAACAAGCCAAAACTTCAGCAAACCATCTACAAAATAAGGATGATATTATTTTTCTATAATAGCTAACTTCCATGAGAATTTCTCTGCCAGGCACTTTTCGAAGTGCTTCGTACACAATTTATTCAATCCTCATGGCAACACTTCTGTGGTAAGTACTGTTATTGTCTGCAATTTACAGACTAGGAAACTGAATTGCAGTTTACCCACCTCACATAGGTATTTGGTAGAACCAAATAAAACTATGCACATAAAGAATTTAGCCTAGTACTCAGCATATAGTATATTCTCCATAAAGGGTACTTTTCTCTTTTTACTCATTGTTTCCATTTTGTAGATGAAGAAACTGAGACTCAAGTTTAAATGACTTTCCAAAGTCACAGCTAGTCAGAGAGAGACCCAGTATAGAGTCTGTGTGACTCCAAAGCCTGAATCTATCCACTATTCTACCCAAATGAAAGTGAAATAGGGAGGAAAGCATATTAGCACTTAGTCGTTCAATAATGGCGTATTTAATTTTAGATGGGATCATGAAAATGATCTCCAAGAAGAGCTGGGAACTTCCTAGGAACGTTAGTGTGGTGGTAGTTCCCAACGGGGCACTAGTTATTGCAAGTCCTCTGGGGCTTACCAGTCAATGCAACATCAATGTGGCTTTTCAAAACTGATGCAAACTGAATCAAGAATCAGTTCTATTGGCTGATTTTATCTAGAGATGCGGAATTGTAGATGCCATAGCTTTACTCAGAAAGATTTCACCCAGAAAAATATCAGCAGGGAACAAACTTTCACATGGGGATTGGGAGAGAACATTCCTTACCTCCCGCAGCACATTCTTTTTTATGCTTATCTATTGTTTCGGGTTCCTCTTTGGTTTCCTAAAATCATAAAGAGATTTTATTGCCGTACATAGAGTGGAAATCCTTCATAACAAATCATTTCCCAACTTCCTGTCCCCTCGCAACCTTACCCTGTCAAAAACACTCTATAGTATTACTAGGGGTTAAGAAGAAGACAGGACTGGCTCCAAGGGGGTTTCCAATCTAGCTGAGGCACAAGGGACAGAAATATATGAAAAGCTGCAAATGTGATACAAGTTACCACAAAGCAAACTAGGACTAATTGCTAAATAAATGAAATAAATATGAACAAGTGTTCTGCATAGGGAGGAAAGAAACACCATGGCTTGAAAAGCATAGAAAATCTCTGCAGACAAGGAACATGCTGGAGCTTGAGGGAGAGAGAGGACTGGATGGATGAAGAGGAGGGAGTGATCCAGAACTACCATACGCAGCTTTCTAGATGGGTTGTTGGGGAAATTATGGCAAAAATAGCTGCTCAGATTGCATTACATTAGGCTTTTACTCCATATGAATATATTTTAAGGTCACTAACCAACCGTCCTACAAATGTTATCTATACAACCAAAACCACCATAGTAAGAGGGTTGTACTCTATTGCCTGGGGAACTCTAATGGGAAAACTATAGGTATACAATTATTTTGATGATAATAATTACTCAACATTCTCAGAAATTTTCTATAAAACATAAGCCTAAGACAAATATCTTTGGTAGAGCCATTGATACCATGTCATGTAATTTTCAGACCATAGAAACTAAGATTTTGATAAAATGTAACAAATTCAATAATTCAGGTAAAGCATTGGATCATTCTTATCAACAATTTAAATATTCCTAAATTTTTTGAATCCTCCCTCAACCCTATGACCTCTTCCAGCTATGGCATTTTCTTCCTCTCCAGCCCTACATGGACTCGCTTCTTCTGGGAAGAGTTGTCCATGGGTGCTCTTTCCAGTTCTTTATCTCCCTTTTGAGATCAATGAACTACTCTGCCCCTGTACCCAACACTCCAAGGAAACTGCCCTCCCCAGTATCAGTGATCTCCCTACTGCCAAATCCAATGGATAATTCTCAGTCTTTATCTTACTTGACCACTGCCTCATCTAAATTGATCTCTAATTCCCTCCTTGTTACAGATTTTTCTTCCTTTGGTTCTCTCTCCCGATGTCCCCTCACCACTACATTAGCTTCTTCTCAGTCCCCGCTGACATTGCCTTCTCATTAGATAATGGAATCATCGAGAAGCCATTATCCTCAGTGCTCTCTTCTTGCCTGCCAGAGTCCTTGGGAAATCTCATCCACACATTTGGTTCTTTGTTGATAACTCACAAATGTGCGTCTGCTCCTGAAAGTCCCACTTTGAGGTGAGTTTATAAATGTGGGTATACAGTCATATATCAAAACCTCCTTACAGAGTACTGATGTCTCACGTCAACCTGAAACGCGACTTATCTCAAACTAATCTTGTTTCACTCCATGATTCTACTCTTCTTACTCCCTCCCTCCTCTCATGTTATTCTATTCATTCTGTAAGTTAAGCCATAAGCAAGGGTATCTACCTTTTCCCACACCCCCAATTATCAGTCACCATGTACTGTGACCTATCCCTTAAATATCTCTCAAATAGGTCTTCCTTTTCTCCATGCTCACTAATTTCATACTATCTTCATCTCTTGCCTGAATTATTACAATAGCATCCTAACCAGTCCCCGACCTCCATTACTACATTTTCTAATGCATTATTTTTAAAACATTTATTTCTATCTTTTTTTGAGATGAGAAGAAATTTTTTTTTTCTCAGAAAACTTTAGTATGAGGACTTGAATTTTCCTCTGTCCATTTTTTATAAGGGGTAACCATTTTTGGCATGTGTGCTAGCCAACACTACACTCTATACATACTTTACACTACAAAATCACGTATCCAATCGTTCTACTCCCTTCCAACTAGAATACTGCAAAATTTTTATCTGCCTTATTGCCTCCAATCTATCCATGCCACAACTTTCTCTTGAGTTAGCTTATATGAAGCCTGTTCCTTGTAACCAAGTGGGCCTACCTAAAACAATGTTTATATACTGAGGGGGAAACAACAATAACACACACACACACGCCTCTCCACACATACAATACAGAGAGGGACTAATACATAAGTACAATGTAGGACTCTTGGAGAAACATGGAATTGGACCCATAGTCTACAAGTTACTCTTCAATAATTATAGATTCCTACCAGTGGCAATGAGCCTTCTCTTTAAGGAAGGGAACTTAACTCTTTTTCTACAAACATTTAAATAGTCATCCTTCTAATGTTTTCTAGCAGTTTCTCATGTGTCTGTATAACATTCAATGCCACTCACAAGGTACCTCCTCCATGACACCTTTTCTGGCCTCTCACCCCAAGTATTTTTTTTTTCATATCACTAACCACACTCTAATTACTGAGTAATTGTATGTTTCTTCCCTTAATTAGAATATATCTTTAACATAGATATTACTGTTTTATTTAACCTTCATTAATGTCCTCTATTGACAGATATTTAGCTTGTTTCCAGTAGAATTTTGATTAATGAATGAGTGAAAGAATAAAAGCATGAATGAATGAATAAATAAAAATCACTGTGCAGTCAGGAGGTCCTAGCTCTGACTGTATTGTGTGACCTTGGGCAAGTCATAAGGATGCTTTGGCCTCAAATTCTTCATCTATAAAATATTGGTGTAATTAAATTCTATTAACCTCAAAATATTTGGAAAGGATAAAGATGAGAGAGCTTTTAAGAGTATTTTGCAAACTGAAAGGGAGGTGTTCTACCATTGAAACATATCATTACTTTTATTGTTAACATGTGTATTTCCTTACCGGATTTAACATGGTTTTGTCCTCACTGACAGAGCCTTGGAGTGGAATATTCTCAGGAGCTGGACTTTTGCCTATGAGAAAAAGGAAACACTGAAGAGGTGGGGGAGAGGCAACAAGTAAAAGAGGAAGACATAGTGAGGTGGCAAAATGGGCGGACTAGCAAGTGGCAAAGGCCTTAACATGTGAGACAAATTATGTCCTACAAAACTTTACCAGGGCCCACTGATTCAGAATCAGGATCAGAGCAACTAAGGTTCCCAAGGAAGCTGGCCGTGTAAGACTTCTTAATAGAAATGAACATTTCTATAATTGGCCTTCAAACAGCAGGGCTTTTAAAATCTTTTTTAAGGCTGCTGCTGCTTTGTTTATCAAACACATTACTAGTATAATTATAGAAACTGGGTGAAGAAAGGATGAACAATTAGTAACTTAGTAGCTTTTTTGTAGCTTGACAAACAGGTTTTTAAAAATTACATACACACATACGCAAGGCTGATAACAAAGTATGACATCCCTTCAAACCATGGTATCTTTCTAAATAAAACATCATTTAACTAAGAAGAAAAGATGCACTTTTAATTTACGCCATTCCTTTTTGTAATTTCCTTTTATTTTTGTGTTTGTACTGTAATATACTTGATAATGATTTTCCTTTTCACATGATTCTTTGTCCTGAATTTAGTTCAGTGCAGGCACAAAGGTCAGTAGCTATATATAGATTTTGTTTCTTTCTTTGTAAGAAAAATAAATAAAGGATGTATTATATTTTTAAATTTTATATTGAAATAAGAACAAAACGGTAACCACTTTCTTGAGAGGCATAAAATTCTTTGCCCTACGGTAATTTTATTTTGGTTTTTCTGTAAATTTTAAGACAGATGATAGACTTGAAATTGATAGTCCAGAAATTAAAAAGTAGAAAATATTTTACAGTGAATATTTTCTCTCCCATCCATGCCTGCCACAAACCCACTTTCCCTTCCCACAGACAATATTATTAATTTTTGTCTAGCCTTCCAGAGGTATTCTATGCATACATAAAAACTTCTTCCTATTCTTTTTGTGCAAATTTTTACATGCAATACGTAATGTTTTGTACTTTGGGTTTTTCTTTCCAAGAAACAATAGTTCTTTGATATCCTTCCAAGAAAAAAGATTCCTATGTTTTATGGATGCATATTAGTATTCCATTACATGGATATGCCAGAATATATTAACTAGTCTACTGATAGTTACTAGTTTCCAATATTTTATTACAGACAATGCTGCAGTAAATAAACTTCCACATATGTCATATGATACGTGTATACTTAGATCTATAGGATAAATTCCCAGACACCAAATTGTTTTATGGTACAGGATATGTACATTTAACATTTTGGAAGATATTGGCAAATTCTCCTCCATCTTAATTACAATAATTTATATTCCCTACAGCAACGTATGAGAATTCTTTTTCCCCACAATCTTAGCAACAGAATGTAATCAAATTTTTGCATCTTTCTCTACACGATAGGTGAAAAGTGATATCTTGGTTCAGTTTTAATTAAAATTTTTCTTATTTGGTATGAGGTAGAACAGAAAGGTATTCTTCAGTTAACCTAAGGAATGGATTCCATTTCTACAATTTTACAGCTCCCCTAATTTAGCACTTATATCTCAGATCTAACCGTCTAGTTCAAACAGTAGAATAAATTTTCCTTGATTATTTTTTTTTGGTGGGAATGGGAGCTTATGCCTCCCATGAGTGTTAACTGTAGTAATGTCTCACTGGGAACAGCTGAGAATAACTACTTTGTTTTCATACTCAAGTGGCAGAAAATGATGTAATATATCATCTAGTTAATTCTTTTGCCTTCTGAGTGGACCATCACTAATTGGTCCATTTTAACCTAATAGATTCTAATTAGGCTGCTGAGAATTTCCTAAGTATGTGATTCTGCAGCTGCGCCTCAGATGACACCCAGGTGTGTCCAATCAATCTCTGCCATAAGGAAACATTGAAGTCCCATTAAAACATATTGTAACTTTTGTTCTATCTATAGAACTGGAAAAAAATTGGTAACTTTATCATATACGAAGGCCAAGGTCACCTCTTAGACTTCTCATCTCCAGACTATGTCTTCACAATTCTTCTATAAAATGTTATTACTGAGCACCTGAGGATAGTCAGTCTACTAGCTTACAGGTTTCCTTAGTGTTTTAGAATGGAAACTACACTTGAACCCTTCAACAGCTTACCTTTGATCTTTATCACAGCAGAAGCCGAAGTGGTATTCTCCTCTTTCACACAGAGTGATTTACCATCAAGGTCACCAGAAGCCATATTCAAAATTTCTGGTCCAGAATCTACCAACAGGAAGAAACTAGGAATACTATGCAAAAGGATTATTTGCCTATGTTCTTTTCATTTGCACACACCTCAGCAGGTCATAGAACATCAAGCTTATAATTCTAGTACCAGCCCTATTTTTCTATCTTTTCCAAGTCCACTCACCACTTGAAGTTACAGTACTGTCTGTGGATGAAGTGTGTCCGGGAGATGGTAGTGTGGAATGTTCCCTGTCAAAAGAGCAGAAGACATATTTTAGAGCGTCAAATCCAAAGAAGTCTTCTAAAAATTAACTGAATATCCATCCAAATTTACACACACAAACAAACAAGCAAACCTGGACTGTGGTGGGCTCTCAGAATACAAGCACTCAACACCATTCTCCTTAAGGAAAAAAAAAAAGGGAAACAAGTTCAACAATTTGACATTTTCCATTCCAGAGAGGTTGTTTTAAGCAAACATTTTCATACACTTTTAAGTGAACCTGCATTTATTTTGCTCTTTTAGAGAGGCTATGGGAATAGGGTGGTATAGGGCAAACTCATATACATACTTTCTCAACGCTGTCCTTGCAAGAAAAAAATCCAATTTTGAATATACTTACATGTCTGATATTTAAAGAAAACCTGATAAATTCTTGGGCAAAACAAATTCTAAACTTAAAGGAGAGGTAGAGTATATTTCATGAACCTAAGTTTTGTTTAAACAGAACATTCTATGTGTACACAAAACAACATTTTTATTTATGGAAATATTACTCAACTTAAAACTTTTGGTCTGGTGATTTAAAAATGGTTCTCAATTTTCTAGCTAGACAAATCATACATTTTAAACTTAATCCAATTCTCAAAGATCGGAGAGATTACATCTATGCCAGCATTTATTACTTGGTGCTCAAAGAGAGCTTAACAAAATTGTGGTCTCTGCCTGCCTGGGACCGTGTTTGAAAGTTTAATTTGAACTTCTTAATCTCTATCAGGGGCTCCTAATTTGGGGGGAACTTTAGGACATTAGGGTTGATCTATTCACTTATTCTCTTTCAAAAAGTACTGTGGGAACATAGGTTCCTCTTTAATAATAAGCTTTTCTAATAAGTATATTTTCATTATTATTTGGTTTATTTAGAAAAATAAATTAAAATTTAATAAATTAAAACAAATCATTTGAACATTTCAAAAACCTGCACGGACAATGCAAAAATGAAGACATTTAAATATTCCATAATCAAACATAGGCCTTCTTATTAACTGCCACAACCAAAACAGGTTTCAACAGAGGGATGCTGCAAATCATACACGGTATTTAGAATCGATCCAAAATAATATTGGCCATAGTCACAGGAAGGTAAAGGTCTAGCAAGGGTCTGCGGAATATGTAGTTATTCAAGACAACAGCAGCCGGTTACATCTGCTCAGCACGCTAAAATTTACAAAAACCTTTCTATGTATCAACTCATTTAATTCTCTCACCAACTTTATGCAGTAGGTTTTAGCAAGAAGAGATTTATTTATTTCAGGTAAGGAAAGTAAAGCTAATGAATAAATTTCCCAGGAGTGTTCAAAATGGTGTTGTCAGCCTCTAAACCCAGATGAGAGTCCTCCCCACTGTAAAGAGGGGCGTCTCTGAGATGCCCCTAACCCAGGCCCCTGGAGAGGCAGAGACCCCCCAGTTACTGTGTTAGACTGGTAGATGATTTAAACATATACCTTTTAAAAGTTCACCTCAAATGTTTGGAAAAATCCACAAACTTACAAAGCAAGAATTTACACCGTATCCTCCTAGATATCAATGTTGGGCAATCTTCCCTTTTATTTCATGTCGTCTCTGCTTTAAATGTCTTTGGGTCAGACCATATGTGACTGAAACCTCTCATGACATTGGTTTAAGTCACTTAAAAACTTTCATCAAAGGCCCACATTGTGTCAGGAACAGTGACAAAGGCTGGAGACACACAAAAACACAGTCCTTGTTCCAGAGGGGCTCAGAGGCCAGTCAAGAAGACAAATATGTAAAACAAATACTTCATAAATTATAGGAAGCATTCCACAGAGGAAAGTAATATGCACAGAACAGAACAGAGTGAGGTAATATTTGAATTAAATTTTGAAGAGAAATTGTACCTTTCACCTTACAGGTAGTTAAATAATGATGGCCCTATCCTTGAAATATTTATGTAGATTGTATGAAGAATTGTTACATGCTTATTTAACTATAGTCCAATATATATGTAAGAAATGAATCTATAAAAATAGGAAAAACTTAATCTGCAGTTTCATTAAGTATCATACTTCACAAAAGTCAACAAGGATTGATTCCTTAATAATAAAAAAATCAAGGCCATTTAAAACTCCAAAACATATACAAATTTGTTACTAAGTGTGGCTTGAAATAACACTTATTACTGTGCTATAATTAATAACATAATATATAATAATTATAATTATATTGCACCAACTGAAAAACTAATTTTATCAGATAAAGACCTCACACCTATCAGGATCATGAATACTTGTATTTGAATTTAAGAGGTATGAAAAAGAATGCAGCTTTTCTCTATTTAATTAAACTTGTTTCCAATATAGAGGGAAAGGGGACACGTTATTTCTACAAAATTTGTTTTTAAAAAAGTCTAATTATTATTTGAAGTCAAAATAATAAATACAGCAAAAATACAGATTGCCTCCATGATATTACAAATGAGTCTCATTTGCCATAATGCTCTGTGTAAGCCCTTCTTTTGTTTCATATCTAAGATATGAAACATTTTAGTGAGAAGCCTTTTGATAAACAAAAAATATTTATTCATTAAATAAGCAATAATTCTGTGATTTTGGAGAATGTCATATATTTAGTAACCATACATTACTGCATTGTTCTGGAACAGTTCCAAGGTAAGCAATTGGATATTACTTCCAATTCACTAATCTTTATAAACTTCACTGATCAGAAGACAACCCAATATACAAGACAGCTCAATCTTAGATTTTCATAAATCTGACCTAACAACTATTTTTTCCTTCTTACAAGAACAACCAAACAAAAGAAGGAGATTTTTTTAAAAATTTAGGATTATAGTTAATGAAATTTGGAGATATACCCCTGCAGGCCTCTGTGCATATGGAGTAGGGTAGGAGATAACTCAGCAAAAGCTTTGCACAATCGTGCTCTTTTCTTCCAACTTCAAAAGTCACCCCTATTCAAACCAGCATCCCAGACCCACAGGAGAACCTAACCCACACACAACAACTGTAAGACCTGGGCAGATCATGAAGAAGATAATCCACTGGATATATTTTAAAACCAAGGAAAATTAAGGAATTGACTAAATGCAAGAAAAAGAAAGTTCAGATGAGAGACTTACATGTAGAGGATTGGCTCAAGTCAATGAGTCTGACACATGCCGACAGAATAGAGCAGGAAGAATGTTACTCCTGGCTAAGCCATTCAAATATCAACCTGCATAACATTTACATGGAAATCCATGGTCCAGACCATTTGCTTGAGACATTAGGAGTCTAATGTAGGGTGGGGTAGACAAGGTACTCACGCAACAAAGTGACACAGAGTCTCCCATGGGCTGGGTCAGCAAACACAAGCCACACACACACGCGCGCACACACAGTAGTATCATTTCAATATTTAGATAGAAAAATAGTAAGAACAATAAGAAATAACTTTTAAGATGTTAAGAACGGCAACTAATAGGCCTAGATACTCTCCCAGGGTCACTTTATTTTTGCTCTTCTACATAAAAAGAGACTTTATCTACAGATTTTATGATTAGAAACCCTTCTGCTAATAAATACTCTTGTTACAATGTAACTTTTACTATTAGATCTATTTCAGACAATTGATGATACTCAAATAAATTAATACGGTTTTCTAAGAAAAAAAGAAAAATTGACTAAAAGGAGTCTCTATAGACTTATTTCATTCTAACAAAAAAAAAAAAATTCCTTGACTCAGTGTCGGTTTCAATGTTCTAAAAAGAGAAGGCGTGTCAAATTGAACGTCTAAAGATTATAAACGCTGTAACCTAAACAAAACGAAATTTCCTCATAGGTTTTTTTTTCCCCCCCCAATTTCTAACTAAAAGGACACCACACCCTCAGATCTACAGGACACACCCACCACTTTGAGGTTAATTTATAATACAGTTATCAGTCAATTTCTACATGTTCCAATTTTGTAATTGCAATGTTATTTATTCTCCAAGGTTATTAATGCTACACCCACACACGACTTGAGAGAACAGGACAGACAATGGCCAGAAGAGCTTCGGAGATATTTTAGAATTGATTCTGTCCTCTACCTAATAAATCACCTCCTCTTGGAGGCAGTCCATCTTAGACAAAAATGTGTAAACACATGAAGGAGACCTCAAAGGAGTGGCACTTAACATTTGGTTAGGTGATTTTTTTGTTAACAGCCAAAGGAAAAGCAGAAATTCCGTTTCGTATCCCCTCACCTCTGACAAGGTATCCTCGGAGGTTCACACTGCTGATAATTCTAATTCTGGGTGATAGATATTTTCTCAGTGTTTACTATGAATCAGGTACTTTACATATGTTATAAAATGTTGTAGTGGTGTCAGATCTGAGACTGGAGTAGGTACAGGGGAGAATCAGTTTCATGGTCACAGAATTTTCATGAAACTTCTTAATTCCTGGAGTGTTTAGGCACACACACAGGTACCTAAATCACATGTCCAGTTTTGCAAAGGCCCAGAAACCATTTGGTTGTTGTTCAGACTCAATGGTGGGAGCAGTGAATAAGGAAAGGAAGACAGACTATAAGGAGAGATAACTGGGCCCCTGAGAGAAACCGCTAAGCGTGAGGAAGAATTGAGGAAGTTGGGCCAAATGAACAGCTGGGTCTAGCTATTGACAGGAGCAACAATTCTCGATTCAGTGGGAGACTGTGCTACCCATCAAGCAGCGTGTCTCCCAGCCCTGCTGGATTATCTGTGCCTTGATAAGTAGAGGATAATTCTAACAACCACATCACAGGAGTCTACCCAACAGCACGGGAGGACTCCTTGCTGAAACAAGAAGGGAGCACCATCTCTCTACTGACCAGGGAGAGGAGATAGTCAAAGGTCCAGAAATAGAGTTACGAAAAGGCCAGCAGTGGAGCAGGCAGGGCCTGTGGGCAGTGTGGACAATGAACAAAAAGGACTGAACAGATGGGAGTGGGGAAACCAACTGCCTTCCCCACGATCTCTCAGGAGGTTCAGTGTCCTTCCCTGGCACCCACTAAGTGGTGAGGCCTGAAGAACACTGGGATATACTGGTATACACTCCTAGAGATTCTTGGAAATGTTGAGATGGGATTCCATGAAACAAAAAGGCCTTCCTATTCATCAGCAAGTGGGGAAAAAGAGCACTGAGATTTGTCTTTCCTCTAAATAGGACCTACTTGGTTGTTTCCACGGACTGGTTAGGCCAGAACTTAGCTGTTGCAGACACGTATATATGAATGTACATATGCAATCTGTGTACATGTGTATTTGAATCCTCAAAAGAACCTTGCAAAGTAATATTTCTGTTTCACAGGACACACAAGTAAATTGAAACAGACCACTTGTCCAAGTTCACTTAGCTAATAAATAACAAATCCAGCCTTAAATCCAGACCCACCTGAAACCAAATCTAGGCTATGTGGCTAAAAATTCTGTCATTACTGGGAAAAAATTCAAATAAACACAAAAGTAGACAGAATAGAATAATTGACTTTTGTGTACCCATTCTGCAGATTCAACAATTATCAACCTACGGCCAATCTCGCTTCATGTATACTGTCACCCACTAAACCCATCCCTGCATTGTTTTGAAGCAAATCTCAGATATCATAAACATTTTTTCCACAAATATTTCAGTCTGAATCTCCAAAAGATGAGGACTAGAAATGATTTATTTCCTTCTTTCCTCTTTACACTAAAATATTCCAAATAAATGAATTTCACTGGGTCAGTAAAGTACCTCTGTTCTCCCCAAGAACGTCCCAAACTGGGCCCCAAATTATTTTAGAGATGTCCTTTTTGAGATATTAATCTTGTTAGAGCCCTTTAATCACTCAAAGATCCTCCTACGACTACTGATGTTCACTTTTCTCTTACACTGTGCTTTCTGAAAGAGATGTGACAATGTAGCTTCCTCTACAAATATGTGAGAGGAATAAAAAATAAATCTCAAGTTCTCGGGAACACCAGTCCAAAGAAAGGAGTCAGAAAGTGATATGACAAGGCTGTCAATTCAACGAGTTCATTGAATTCTCACTCTCAACGTTTTAAATAGACCCTGTAGGGAGTACAAAAATAAATAAGTAAATAGACGTTCAACAAATATTAATGGGATGGCTACTGGACACCACATCTATGCAGGATGCTAGATGCACACTGGTTAATGGTCAAACAAAGGCACTCTCCACCAAGCTTATAATTTAATACAAGAAAAATATAAGAAAACAAAGAACTACAATGCAATCAGAATACAGGTGACAATAAGGGGAGCACAAAGAGTTACTGGGGTCTAAAAGAAGGGAGCGAACTTATTTTTTCCTGAGTGGGAATGTTGAGAAATGAGGAAACTGAGGCCTGAAAGCCAGGACTTTTCCAGAGTTACCCAGAGGAAGAAACTGGGAAAAACCTCACCTAATGGATTAGGAAAAACCTCTTAATCCATTACAATTTGCACCTCAGGAAGGACTGGAGATGCCTGATTGTCAACATTTCTCACTACCACAAGAAACATTTTATGAAACAGTTGGTTTTTGAAATGGGCCTTGACGGTCACACAGCATTTTGAGAAGTGGAAAGTGTTCAGTGTTCCGGGTAGAGAAGACAGCATAAACAGGCAGGTGTGATATATTCTGACAATACACGCTACCTGCTTGGGCTAACAAGTAGGGACAACTATAAGGCAGTGATGGGGAAAGAATGGAAAGTTAGATGGTAATCAGATTAGAGAGTGCCTTGAATACCAGGTCAAGTTGTTTGTTATGAAGCTCTCAAGAGTGACAAAAATCCCACAGTTTAAAGCCAAGGAGTTAAGAAAACACCATGATTTATGGGTCACTGGGATAAACATGGATTAAATTTTTATCTCACATTTCATTCTAATTCCCTGTACTTAATGAGAATGCTTAGGAACCATTTTCTAAGGAGAGCTCTCTCTGTGTTTAAGAGATGGGCGTGGCAGGCATGAAAGGATGGGAGGTAGGGATTTGCTCATGGGACAGGCATGAGGGAGTGAACCGTGCAGCGAACAGGCTGCACAGATTCTTCAGTGGAGCAGAAGCCCAGAAAGAGAATGGTGAGAATTGATGGTATCATCCACAGCAGACAGACTAGTTCCTGGGAACTGCAGAAGAAACGGCACAGAAGACAGTATGAAACCTTCAGGGAACCCGTACATTTCCCAGGAGCATTTGACAGCTGTTTCTATTGCAATCTTTGTTAGCTCCTATTCTTAATGGGTATCAAGACATAGTCAAAAACAACTTGGTCACATATCCTAATGAGGGTAGATCAGGAGGTCCTTTTAGATATTTAAGGCAGCACATTTCTTAGCCAAAAAATCACTTTCAAGCTAACTATGAGTGATTATTAGGATTGAAATGTCTAAATTCAGTGTACTAAGAGGGGTTGTGAAAAGGGTTTATCCTTTGAAGCTAGACAAACCTGACTTTGAATCCTAGATTTGCTACTTACTAGTTGAGGATCGAGGGTAAGTTATTTCACCTCTCTGAACTTCAGTTGCTTCTTCTATAAAAAGCAAAGAATACTTAGCACTCAGAGTTGTGGAGAGGATTAATGACACGGCATGTGGAAATGCTTTCCTACAAAGTACCTGTTACACAACTGATGTTTGTTTCTTCCCCTTTCTTGGTGAAATCAGTGCCAGATAAAAGGGAAATTACTAATAACCAAACATCCTGTAACCTTCCAAGTTCAACTTCCTTTATTAAAACTGTACAAGAGCTGCTAAGAAATAGCAAACTAGATTCATTTCCTTTTTCTTTCCTTCCCTTAGCTATTCTATAGGATAGCTACCGAGGAACAGAAAAATGTCAGCTACACATACTTAAAAGAAAGAATAAGAACAACACATAGAACGCAGTTGTAAAGAGAAAAATAACCCAATTTTTAAAATGGGCAAAAGATCTGGGTAGACATATCTCCACAGAAGATATACAATGACCAACAGGTACACGCAACAGAGCTCAACATCATTTGTCATCAGGGAAATGCATATCCAAACCACAATGAGGTACCACTTCGCACCCTTTAAGATGCCTATAAGCAAAAAAATAGACAAGTGCTGACAAGGATGTGAAGAAACTGCAATGCTCATACATTACTAATGGGAATGTAAAATGCTGTAGCTGTTTTGGAAATCTGTTTTGCAGTTCCTCAAAATGTTAAATATAGAGTTACCACAGGATGCAGCAATTCCACTCCTAGAGGTATGCCCAAAAGAATTGAAAACACATGTTTACACAAAAACTTATACACTGATGTTCATAGTAGCATGATTCACATTAGCCCGAAAACAGAAACAACCCAAGTGCTCATCAACTGATGAATGGATAAACGAAATGTGGTACATCCATACACTGGAATATTATTCAGTCATAAAAAGGAATGAAGTACTGATAACATGCTACAGCATGGGTGAACCGTGAAAACATTATACTAAGTGAAAGAAACCAGTCACAAGAGGTCACCTATTGTATTCTCCCATTTATATGAGATATCCAGAATAGACAAATCTATGGAAACAGAAAGTAGATTAGTGGTTGCCTAGGGCTGGGGATTTGGGGAAGGGGGAATAGGGATAGACTGCTAATGGGTATGAGGTTTCTTCTGGGTATGATCAAAATATTTTAAAATAGATTGTGGTGATGGTTGCATAACTGTGAATATGTTTACAAGCATTTAGGGGGCCGGCCCCATGGCCAAGTGGTTAAGTTTGCACGCTCTGCTTCAGTGGCCCAGGGTTTCGCTGGTTCAGATCCTGGGCACAGACACGGCAGCACTCATCAAGCCATGCTGGGGTGGCATCCCACATAGCACAACCAGGGGCACTCACAACTAGAATATACAACTATGTACCAGGGGGCTTTGGGGAGAAGAAGAAGGGGGAGGGTGGGAAGATGGGCAACAGATGTTAGCACAAGTGCCAATATTTAAAAAAAAAAGTATTTAATTGAACAATTTAAATAGATGAATTGTTTGGTATGTGAATTCTCTCTCAATAAAGCTATGGAAAATAAAAAAGACAAGAAAGAAAGATGGATTGCCAGATCCTGAATAGAAATCTCTGGTCCATTTGACGGAGAGATCATGAAGCTCAGGCTCAGACTGTAGATCAAGGCAGGCGCTCAAGACACGTCTCCATGACCTGGGGAGTTTGCCTAGGTGGCCTCAGTTATCTATCATCGTTATTCTCTTCTTGGGTAGAGAAGCACCATTGGCACCTAACTGCAGCAATGTATACTCTGTGGGAATTGCCCTACTTTGTGACTTATTACAAAGTACTAGCACCTCAAAGCTTATCTAGCCTTGACCTCAATTCTTAGAGAGTCAATGGGACCTGAGACTTCTTACAGCCATTAGTGAATTTAAGTCCCAAACCAGCCTGCCTCTTAAACAAAAAGTTCAGCACACTTCATCAAAACCTTTTTTGGGTTGTATATCCTTAAGTTTACACTATAGAAGGGGTAGAAAGCCCCTAAATGACTGAATTTTAATTTATTGCCATCAAAGGTTGGCATTTCTCATGCTTCTGAGTTTCCAAGTATAAGATTCATACTTGCTATAAGAGTGTCCATAATATTGAAAAAAAAAAAAAAAAAGACTACCCATAGAAGGGGACCAAGATATGACAGTACTAAAAATGAAGTTGAAACATAGTCCAATACTCACGTTCATACTTAGGTCATCACTCATCCTGATGCAACCTGAAAGATCTGTTCCCTGGTGGGGGCCAGCTACAGGGCCTGGGCACCTGCCAAGAGACAGTAAAATTCCGTACTGCACATGGAAAAACTGCAAATTTTAGCAGATACCAAACTATAACATAGCGCCCCTCCCCCACATCAGTTTTACCAAATTTCCAATTAAGTTCATGGCTTAAGTAAGACATAATGAAAGAGAGCTCCCACCTCCAGAAGAGAGAGGTTACAAACTATCAAGAACCTAGCCAAAAATGAAAATGAAGAATTTGCAATTCAAAGTCTTGCTTCCTCACCCTCGATACAGATAGGAAAGTTCCTTGGGGTGGACAGTGCTCACAAATGCCCCTGACATTTCTGCACTTTTCCTAAGGAAGGGCAGTCTGTGTACTCAGAACGGTAAAGAAGCGCAGACGCGCTTTGGGAGATGGTTGGGGCGGGGACAGAGAGAGGTTCCCAAAGGCTCGTTAACCTTCAGTGTGAAGGAAAAGAAATATGATCAAAACCTATCTAAATACATTAACTTCACAGTATGTAGTATATTCCTAAAAATGGGGAAACATTTTAGGTAGCCTAACTTGGATATTATACGAAATTCAAAAGAGCAAGAAAACTGCAATTTAAGAAAACTACAGAGATATCTTTGCTTTAAAATTGCCAATTTTCACAAAGTTAGAGAAGTTCCACGATGTAAGTTCCACAATCAAGAGGTTATGATCTCAGGATATGAAAATCTAACTGATTAAAAGGTTAGGCAATAGGAATAGGACGCCCATGAAGAGGAGGGTAAGTATATTTTGCTTTTTAACTTACCCGGGTCTTTCAGTCACATCCAAAGCACCATCCTCTATTTCTCCATATTTAGGTCTTTCACATGAAGCATGGATTCGGTTGGCCAAACATGAGAAAGGTGTCAATTCCAGCCTTGGAATCGTTGTAAGACTATCCAGATGCAAGGCATCTGCAGAAAAAAATAAAAATAGAAATTTATTTCTGGTTCAAATTTTATGTATATATATGTATATAGATAAATTCTTTCCCTCTTGAGAGTTTGGACCATTTCTGAAAAAGGAGAAGTCAATCCAATTCTATTCACATTTTAACATAACCCTCCCCCCTCTTGAGGCCTAGTTATATAGGGTGTAAATAATTTTTTTTAAAGCAGGGGATGGGGGTAGGGAGGGGAGACAAAAAATCCATTGCTTATTAAGTGACTAGAGGGGTCAACAATTTGCAGCCAGAGGGCAAAATCCAGCCAGTCTCCTGTTTTTGTAAATAAAGTTTTATTGGAATACAGCCAGACTCGTTCATTCAGTATTTTCCATGGCTGCTTGTGTGCTAAAACAGTGAAATGGAATAGTTGCTGCAGAAACCATAGGGCCTGCAAATCCTAAAATATTTACTATCTGGTCCTTTACAGAAACTCCTGAAGAGAAAATAGTTTGACATTGCAATTGGAAGGCATCAAAGAGTGGTGTAGGAAATAGGGTGACAAACTGTTTTCTTTTTTTGGAGGAAACCATCTTGTTTGTTTTTCTGCGTATAGGAAGCAGCAGAGTTTAATAGAAAAAACACTGGCTTTGGAGTCAACGACAATTTTTCAGTTCAAATCCTGGTTTTGCCATATACCACTTGTATGGTCTTTAATAAATAACTAAACGGCTCTGAGCCTCAGTTTACTTACATATGAAGTGAGACATAACCTTGGGCAAATTACTAACTCAATTTTCCTCTGTTTCCTTATCTTTAAAGTGGGAAATATATTAGCATCTCCCTCGAAGGGATGTGGTGTGGATTAAATGAGTTAATAGATAGGTTAAAAGCAGAAAACCGTGCCTGGCACACAGCAGGCACTCTGTAAGTGCTGTCGTCATTGTAGTTGTGTTGTATTATCACTGAGTGAATGTGAGTAAAATCATTTCTATAAAGACCAATGTATAGTCTGACACAAAATGGCCACTCCATTAGTGGCAGTAGCAGTTTTCCCTTCTCTAGTTGAAGTGATCCATAAATCACTCTACTTTCTTTTTATTCCTTCTTAAGTTTATCTTGATAATCATCTCATTTCTTTTTTCATTTCGGAACCACTGCTAACTTTTGCTTTCAACCACATCCAGGTTGTGATGAAAGATGTCACTACTTTGAGCATTTCCTAAGATAAACCTCATTCTTCTTAGCCTGGCATTGAGTAAGATTCCACAATTTGAGCCACAAGCTGCTCCAAACTTATATTCTACTGAATCCAAACCCAACTCCTGTTTCAAAAATGACTTGCCCAGCTTTGACTCTTCCGCAAACACTTAAGGCTTTTGCATGCTTACTTCTGTTTTTGTTTGTTTTTTTGCTTCATGTCATTCTCCCCAATTGGAATACTTGCCTATGATTTTTGCTTTTCCGAATGTAACTCATCTTTCAAGGCCTGGTTCAACTCTCGTTTCTTCTCTGGAGCCTTCTCTGAGTTCTCTGAGCTCAGGTCTTATCTCCCCAATAAACTGTGACCTATTTTAGGACTTATTCTCTATTATACATAACATGGAGCCTTGCACAGAGTAGGCGCTCAAACATAATTTGATTAACTGAATTCAAGGATAAGTATCCAAGTATTCAACAACTCTTCCTATACAAATATAATTGTGATTAATTATTTGTCCCTTTCAAAAATAACCCTACCTCAGCTATGCCTGGTAGGGCAGAGGAGAGGGGCGATCCGTGCTTACCCAGCAGAGGTGTGTACCAGCATGTATGTTTGAAGGTCAGGGGCGTCTGATGTATTCTGGCGTCTTGACCACTATATAGTTTATGGCAACACTGCTTCTGAACAGAAAATCAAGTAGTATCAGCTATCTAAAAGGGTATAACATAACATATTTCATAATCTACTCTCTTCATCTCCAAAGGTGGGAAGAATATCACTGGTCTCAAATAACCCTGTGAGAGAGGTCAGGAAGAAAATCAATGATGCCAAGTAACAAAGCTTTCATGCTTTTGATCAAAACGCATAATCTATACGTAAAATATAATTCTTGGGGCCAGCCCCATAGGCGAGTGGTTAAATTCGTGTGCTTGACTTTGGCGGCCCAGGGTTTCGCTGGTTCAGATCCTGGGCGTGGACACGGCACCACTCATCAAGCCATGCTGAGGCGGCATCCCACATGCCACAACTAGAAGGACCCATAACTAAAATATACAACTATGTATGGGGGGATTTGGAGAGAAAAAGCAGGAAAAAAATTATAACTCTTGGGGGCCAGCCCCATGGCTGAGTGGTTAAGTTCACCCGCTCCGCTGTGGTGGCCCAGGGTTTTGCCGGTTTGAATCCTGGACACGGACATGGCACTGCTCATCAGGTCATGCTGAGGCGGCATCCCAAATGCCACAACTAGAAGGACCCACAACTAAGAATATACAACTATGTACCGGGGGGCTTTGGGGAGAAAAAGGAAAAGAACAAAATCGTAATATATATATATATAAAATTCTTATTAAAAATCACAGTTCAATAATTTAACAGAATGATAACATCGTCAATTCCCAATAATCAACGCTTTCACATAAACAAAGGCTTTGAGGAAAGAGGTATAGTTTAGGGGCAAGCTTAGTTATATAATTCTTCTTCGTGATACTGCAATAAAAAAATTTAAAATATTACCATTTCTTAGAGTCTAGCCAGATTGTGTGCATGTGTGTGATAAAGAAAACAGCAAGCATCCATTGCTTCATCTGACACTCGCTCAAAGAAAAGCTGTGCAGGGCTCTAAGACGACTTATACCTATTGGACTTAACTTTCTATTTTGAAATAGTAGTTGATTTACCATTGACACTTTAAATCGTCTCAAAAAGCTTAAACTTACCAGTTGTTCTTGAAGAGGTTGTTGAATTCTATCTGAGCAGGACAAGGGACCATAGTGAGGAAATTCCTCATCTAAACAGCTCTGTCTTGAGAAGATGATGGAGTGTATTCAAAGACAGAATGATGCCAGAGTCGAAGATACAAGACATATTAGACTTAAGAGAAGATATGAGGCTACCTGAGGAGGGTAAACGGACCAGTTCTTTATTTTGTGTTCTACTTTAAGGGAACAAATTTGTCATGGTAAACCTCTCCTTGCATTTTCCCCGTTACTTGTTCTAGGAATGAAATCCAAAGAGCAGGGACAGGAAACTGAATGGCTTTGTCATTGAAATCTTTAGGCAGACGCCAAGGAAGCTCTTTGGGCGTGTAACTCACATCAGTGAAAATGGCGTCTGTGAAAATTTTATAGCAATAAAATTGTGGCCTTAGTCCAAGAGGTAGATATATATCTATCATAGTTCCATTGTAATGGAAAATTTTATTGGTTCTTGAGATGATTAAAGCATATTTAGATAGGGAAGTTTTTCCAGTTCAATTTATCGTAGAAGGCTTTTAGGCACTCTGCCTAGCTAATCTCCCACATGAACAATTTTTTTTCTGCTTAAACAGATGTGTCTGCATTATGCCCTAGAAACAGATATATGCAAATATCACCCTTCTTTCTTCCCTCCTCCAGTCCCTTCCGCCAGTGCCAACCTTGCTATTCCTTATGTTCTTCCTTTACGAACAAAAAGGAGAAATTCACCAAATGTCACAAGGGAAAGAAATACCTGCAACTCTCCCAAGGATATCTTGAGATATCCAGACAGAAAGAAGTGGAAAGTTTAATTTAAATCTAGAAAAAAGAGACAGTAACCAGCAAAGCCCATTCAAGACTATCAGAAACGAGGTGCCTAGGACTGAAAAACCGGCCCTTTGCTAACAGACATAGTACATTCTGAAATGCTTTCTCTTTGAAAGATGTTATGAAGAGCCACTCACTAATGTGAGTTCTCCTCTCCTGTTTTTCTAAATGCTTTCAGTGCACAAGAGAATCAAGTCCACCAGAGCATTTTCCTCTCAGTTGGTTATTTAATTTTATGACTAAAATTATTCTACATCATAAATTATCTTCAAAACCTTATTCAAATTGGACATCTTCCCCACAGTACACAAACATCACAGGTTGGTTTTATTTTTACCTGAAACAGCAAGCCAAGGAGTTGTCCCTTAATTAACTTCTTTCTTGGTGATTCAGTTGTTGCTATAAAGAGAATTTATAACCAGTTTAACATGACAATTCCTAACCCCCTGTGCCTTAATTTATATCACAAACTTTGAACATCTTTAAATTTGGGGACTGAGGAAAGGAGAAAGAAAACAATGACTTCTGAGAATGGTATTCTCAATGCATGATTTGTGGAAATGGAAAATCAGGAGAACAAAGTAGGCTGGAGCAGCTAAACTATTATTACCCTTGGGTATTTAAAATTAACCTTGATAGAAGCAAACGAATTGTCTTCTAGAAGTGTCATAGAATTATTCAGTCTTAAAATGGAAATACACCATAAAAGTCATTCAGTCCAACTGCCTACTGATGTGGAAATCCTCTCTCCAGTAAGCCTCTGCTTGAGCTACAAGTGGTAGGAACCCTAGAAGTGGAGCCCCAGAACCCAAGAATCCTACAAGCAGGTCATGAGAACACTGATGTCCAGAGGATTTAAACGATAGCTGGTTATTCATGGAGCTGCGATCAGACTCACAGGTCAGGTTCAATTCATTATACTCTTCTGTGAAATTAAAAATATTCATCTTGGGGCCGGCCCCGTGGCTGAGTGGTTAAGTTTGCGTGCTCCGCTTTGGTGGCCCAGGGTTTCGGCAGTTCGGATTCTGGGCGCAGACATGGCACCGCTCATCAGGCCATGCTGAGGCGGCGTCCCACATGCCACAACTAGAAGGACCCACAACTAAAATATACAGCTATGTACTGGGGGGATTTGGGGAGAAAAAGCAAAAAAAAAAAAAAAAAAGAAGATTGGCAATAGTTGTTAGCTCAGGTGCCAATCTTTAAAAAAAAAAAAAATCGTCTTTCTTAATTGAAA